GTTTTTCTTGCCTAAATGTAGAACCTTACTCTTTTCACCATTGAATTTCATTTTGTTAGATAGCGCCCAATGTTCAAGTCTGTGCTTTTTCAAGAGGCAACTGAAGCTTCTTAGATGAGAAGTGAAACATCTCCAAAGAAAAACAAGAGTGTCCAATTGCCTCTTGAAAAGGCACCTTTGGGACAACCATGACCTGGATGACTGAGAATCTCCATAGGCCTGCAGAGGTGTGAATATCAACTCCCAGAATTTCCCAGCCACCATACATAATCATTGCTGAGAATTCTGGGACTTGAAGTGTTCCAGAAGAATTGCCATATGTACGTAGTATTAGTTTCTCCTGAAGAAAGGAGGACCAAATCTTTCTTGGTCCTACCATAGGAGCTCCTGTATGCAAAATTCACCCTAACATGAGCTGTAACCCCATTCCTATGCCTGCCTTTTACATGGAGTTGGCAGCATTTTTGAATCGCCGGGAAAAACTCTAGGGAATTGGTCACCATTGCTCTCTATGCTCTTATTTGTATGGTGTTTCTGAAAGCAAACCGTGATTGTGTCTCTTCCAGACCTTGGAAGAAATTGCTGAGATGGAGGAGGACATTCGACGTCTGGAAGAAGATCTCCAAAGGAAAATGGCCAGTCTGAAATTGGCTCACACTCGCCTGGAGACTCGGACTTACCGTCCCAACATGGAGCTTTGCCGTGACCAGGTACAGAATGCTTTTAAAGCTAGAAAGGCAACAGTGGGGGCCAGAAATAACAATTGCTCTGGGTCTCCGATTATGCACAAAGGTGGAAAGAAAGCATAACATTTCCATGAAAGAGATGCAGATCCCGGTAGAAGAGACTGTTTGTAGCTCAGGTTTGAACCGTGCGGTCCTTCGTGCTTTCTGACCTGGGTTGTTTTCTTGATGTTCACTGATGACGCTACATAGTTTGGTAATGAAATGTCTGCAATGAAACAACCCAGCTCAGAGAGCACCGAAGACTTCCCGAGGGCTTTTGTGGAGGATTCTAGTTTGGCTGAATCCTAGCATCCACTTAATTTAGATGCAAGAAGATTGAGGGTGGCTGTTTTCTGCACAGGTAATCTTCACTTAATAATCGGTTGTTTAACAACTATTTGAAGTTACAACCACCATGGAAAATGAGCCATGATGGCGCAGTGGCTAGAATGTAGTACTGCAGGCTCTTTCTGCTGCCTGCCAGCTGCCTGCAATTTGGCAGTTCGAATCTCACCAGGCTCAAGGTTGACTCAGCCTTCCATCCTTCCAAGGTGGGTAAAATGAGGACCCAGATTGTTGNTGTGTGTGTGTGTTTTCTTTCTGAATTCTCCCCAATGTTTAAATGGATATAGCATTATTCTAGCAGTCAATGCTTTAAAAAGAACAGTGGTAGGTATAGCGATATGTGCATTTAGGACATATATAATTCTTAATTTAAATATAAAAGCCCACATCTAAATTTTAATCCATTGAATGATTTCAGTCAGTTCTCGGTCTCTGCCAAATTCATTTCACAGACCTGGAAATTAAATGTGGATGTGGTAGGAAAAAAACCCTCCACATGGCAGCTGTACTGCTGCAAAGCAGACTCCACCCATTTCTAATGTGTATTTACATAACAATAGGCGGAGTTTCAATTGCATCATTGCAATTTCCGTCTTGACTTTCTGACCACACCAGAGGAAGACCGTTGCGGATGAGCAAAATGGCTGTTTAGCCCTATAAGGAGAAGAATCTCCCACACTTCTTTAATTACAGTTTCTTTGTCTACCTCTTTTGACCTGAGTTTTTCCTTTCTAGACTGACAATGAGTTAGAAGCTCAACGTGTTGCTACCGAATTTGCTTTCCGGAAGAGGATCCATGAACTGGAAAAAGCTCTTGACGAGCTAAGATGGCAAGAAAAAAACGTTAGTCTTCATCTCGGGCAGGAGACCAATCAAATTTGTAAAAAGATCCTTCAGAGTTGGCATGTGTTTAATGAATTTGGGTCAAGATGAGGTTCTCCCAGGATGGTAACATGGATTAATTTCAGAGAGATGACCAGGGGATTAAACAAAATATTGTCAATTCACATAATTTCCCATAACATTTCCTCTTCCTTCTTGAGAGAATAATACAGGAAAGAGGGAAGTTGAATTTGAGAACCTGTTGCACTTCTAGTCCTTCTTTTCAATAGGAAGGGAGCAGATTCTTCTTGATTTGCACATTCCCTTCCCCAAGGAATACAGAATTGAAGAATTACAGGCAGTCCTCGATTTATGGCTACAGTTAGGACTGAAATTTCAGTAATTAAGTGATGCATTTGTTAAATAAGTCATCATGTCATCATCAGACACGATTTTGTGACCACTTTTACCATAGTCACGTTAAGCGAGTCACGTGGTTGTTCAGTGAATTGAGCTTTCCCAATTCATTTTGCTTGTTGGGAGCTGGCCTTGCCAATCGTGAACATGTGACTGCAAGAAAACGCAAGTATCGGAAATGCAACCTGGATTGCTAAGTGCCCATATTGTGATATTGTAACAAGCGTGGTGTAATGCTCTTTTGTTTGAGCATGGGTTTGCCAAGGCTATTGTAACTTGCAACCATCATTAAATAAGTGGTCGTAAGTCAAGGACTACCTGTACTTGGAGCCTCTGAAGATAGGCTAGGAATATGTCAGGACATACTCCAAAGCAAGAGATGGACCAGTGTCCATATAATATATGTGGGTAGAATAGAATAGAATAAAATAACAGAGTTGGAAGGGACTTTGGAGATCTTCTAGTCCAACCCCCCTGCTTAGGCAGGAAACCCTACACCACTTCAGAAAAATGGTTATCAAATATCTTCTTGAAAACTTCCAGTGTTTGAGCATTCACAACTTCTGGAGGTAAGTTGTTCCACTGATTAATTGTTCTAATTGTCATGAAATTTCTCCTTAGTTCTAGGTCGCTTCTCTCCTTGATTAGTTTCCACCCATTGCCTCTCATCCTGCCTTCAGGTGCTTTGGAGAATATCTTCATTTCCTCTTCTTTGTGGCAGCCCCTGAGATATTGGAACACTGCTATCATGTCTCCCCTGGTCCTTCTTTTCATTAAATTAGACCAGTGTTTTTCAACCACTGTGCCGCGGCACACTAGTGTGCCG